CACTTTATCCGTCTTAAAGCACTGTACCATACACACTCCTCTGTAAAAGGAGGTAACCTTTGATTGGTATTCATAGGATATTTAAACAGATTATTACTACCCTATGGTAAGTACCCTCACCAAACTTGGAGCCACTCAATTATTGGCTCCAGGAAAAGGTGAGCAGAGAACTGTTTGTTCTTTTACATTTGTTTTGCACCATTAAAGCATACCTCACCAATTGTATCCTGCTTCCCCTTTGTTTCCATTTGGTATATACATCTACTCTGGATAAAACTCTGAGTTTTGCATTGAAGAAGGTGGTGCTGCCGCATTGAAAGCACAGAACCCCACATGTTTAGAGCGTGTCCGCTAAAAGGCTCTTAAGAACGTGAGTGTATTCCCTGCCATCATATTATTACCATTCCTATCAAAACAGTATCACACTATCTATTGGTCCTTTATTTTGTTTACACATGGTTATATCACTCCATGATTTCAAGGGGTAAATTTTTATATATATATTTTTTTTTATTGGCATTTTATAGAATTTCACAGTCTTATTACAGGGTATGCAGGGTGTGCGGGTTACAGTCATGTTTACAGCATAGAGAATACAGTATATTGAGCAACATGCATTGTCAATGTACCGTCATAACTTTACATTGGTGAGAACATGTCATGAGCATACATGGATTAGTGATACTAGATTAACACCTTTAAACCTAATATCCTGACATTGCTATTTGTGCCCATATTTGTGTTGCCCTCTTTATAGTCCAATGGACGTGGTAGTTAGAATTTTCCTTTCGCTCTGCCGGTATCGGTAAATTAACCCGCAGCTCCCTGGTGCTCAGCTACTTTTCCAGTGAAAAGTTACAAATTTTTATTTTTCTGTAACCACAAGTTTATCTGTCTGTGCGCAAATGCTGCTGCGTTGGGTAGTTGGTAAGTGTTTTGCAGTTGTCTGAAGGGGATTACCTCTCCTTGATCAAACAACTGATGTAAGTATATCAGACCCCTACTACTCCAGGACGCCATGTTCAATGAAGGTATTAGTCCATAAAAGGAATCTAGGAGTAAGGCTGGAGAGAGCCCCTCATCAAGTCCCTGTTCCTTATGAAATCTGTCCCATTCTCGTAATGTTGTGGCTGTGAGTGGTGACATATCTTTATATTTTTTTCTGAGTTGTGGTGGAGTCCAGGCTAGGTGCGTTATTTGTTGTCCCCCAGTGAGTTCTGCTTCTGCGATTACCCAAGGGGATGGTTTGTCATGTTGGTGTAGTTCGTTGACCAGCGGTGCAAGTATAGCTGATCTGTAATACATGGCTATGTGTGGTAACCCCATTCCCCCTCCTTTATATGTGAGGTACATGATTTTTGCCGCTATTCTGGGTTTCTTATGGGACCAGACAAAGGTATTAATCAATTGCTGTGCGTCGTGAAGAAATTTTTTTGATAGCCCAACTTGTAATGTGCGAAACAGGTATTGCAGTCTTGGGAGAATTTTCATTTTGACTGCAGCTATTCTACCCATCCATGATATGTATTTCCCTTTCCAATTCGTCAATTGCTGTTTTATGGATGTAAGGAGTTTGCCGTAATTCTCCCGATGTAAATTCCTCTCTAGTTTTGTAAATTTTATGCCTAAGAAAGTTAAGTGGTCTTGTCTCCATTCATAATTGTATTTCTGTTGCAAGGCTGTATACAGCGGTGCGGGCACATGTAGACTCATTGCCTGCGTTTTAGAGCTATTCAATTTATAATACGAGCAATTGCTGTACTGTTGTAGCAGAGTCTGGAGTTCTGAGATAGAGGTGAGTGGGTCAGACAAGGAGAGCATAACGTCGTCCGCAAGCATCGTTATTTTGTATGTTTTATGTTTAATTTTCACACCTCGGATTTGGCTGTTATCCCGTATCGCCTGGGCCAATGGCTCTAGCGCAAGAATATATAGGGCTGGGGAGAGCGGGCATCCTTGCCTCTTTCCATTTGTAATATTGAACGGCTTGGATACAAACCCGCCATTTGCAACCTGTGCTGATGGCTTGGAGTACAGTGCTGAGAGTAGGGATAGGAATTGTTGTGGGAATTCAAATTTTTGTAGTACAGTTCTCAAGAAGTTCCAGTGTAGTCTGTCGAACGCCTTCTCGGCGTCCAGGGACATAAAGACCCTGGACTCTCCGGGAGGCGTCCCACTATAGAGAAGGCTGTGGAGTTTCCTAGTGCCGTCAGTCCCCTGTCGCCCCCTCACAAAAATCCCACTTGATCCGGGTGTGTGATAAATGGTACGAGGGCCGCTACGCGGTTTGCATAAATTTTGGCTAGGAGTTTTGTATCTGTGTTTAGCAGTGAGATAGGTCTTACATTTTTTGGTTGGGTAGGTGGTTTCCCTGGGTTTGGTAGCGTGGCAATGTGTGCTAATAGCATTTCTGATGGCATCTTACCTGTGTGTACGATGTGGTTCAGTGTATGTACTAGATGGGGGCTCAGGATGTTCGAAAAAACTTTGTAGTAAGTGTTCGTGAAGCCATCTGGCCCGGGTGATTTCCCTGAAGGGAGTGTACGAATAGTTTGCTGTAATTCTTTCAGTGTAATCGGTTCTATCAGGGAATCCTGCTGTTGTTGTGTTAATTTTGTCAATTTTATCTGTGAGAGGAAGTTGTTAATTTCAACTTGTGTTGGCTGATGCGTTTGGGGATCCTTTGTTAAATTGTATAAGTTTTGGTAATAGGCTGCTGTTTCTTCGTTAATGTCTAGGGGGTTATATATCTTCCCTCCTGTGCTGGTGAGTAAATATGGGATTTTGGAGTGGGCTAGGTGATGCCTCAATAAAGATGCTAATTTTTTCCCCGCTCTATTCCCTTGGGTGTAATGCTTCAATTTGAGTGTTTTTGTAGGGTGCGTGCTGTTTTTAAAGTAGGAGATCATTTAATTGATTGGTAATTTGTTCTATTTCAATGTTAAGTCCGGGGTTGGGGTGTAAAAATTGGGCTGCATTTAGGTCACGCAGTTTGGTCAACAGCGTAAGGCGTAATTGTTGAGAAGTCCGGTTGAGGAAGGACGCTCTGCTAATGAGCTGACCTCTAATAACTGCCTTATGGGCCTGCCAAGATGTGGTGGGTGATATTTTGGGTTGATTGTTAAGTTGGAAATATTTATCTATCTCAGTTTCCAATTCCTTTTTAAAAGTGTTATTTAGGAGGGTATCGTTTAGTCGCCATGGAGCTTTCCCTCTGTGTTTGTAAGTATCCTGGGTCGTGAGGGTCAATGGAGCGTGGTCTGACCACACTATGTCCCCTATGCTACTCTGTACCGTGGAAGGCACCAAATCTCTGGACACCAGTATGACGTCTATTCTGGAGTGAGTTCCATGCACCTTGGAATGGAAAGTGTAATTTTTGTCATTCGGGTGTTTCGTTCGCCATATGTCATATAAGTTATGGTCAAGCAATAGTTTAGTGATGGCTTTGCATTGTGGTATTAGGGATCTGTGTCTAGGAGTAGAAGGAGACACTGTCGTGTCCATAGTCGGCTGGAGAATGTGGTTCATGTCACCACATATTATGATGCCAGACCTGTGCTCTTGGGGTAATTTGCTCAGTACTTTATGCAAAAAATTGCGCTGGTTGGAGTTAGGGCTGTATATGCCTACCAAGGTATATATGGCTCTGTTAATTTGACAGTGGATTATTAAGTATCGGCCTTGTGCGTCTGTTTTAACATTTAAAAGTTCAAAGGTGAACGATTTGTGAAACAGGAAGGACACTCCTCTAGTTTTGGAAGAATAAGTCGTATGATACTGCGTCGGATAGTCTTGTTTCCCAAAATCTGGTATTTTCCCACGCACAAAGTGCGTTTCCTGAAGGCACATAATGTCTACTTTAGCTATCTTAGTTTCCTCTAACAGGACTCTACGTTTATGAGGAGTGTTCAGCCCCCTTACATTATGTGAGTATATCTTCATAATGTAATGTTATGTGGGTTCGTCACTGATTTTGAAGTTTACTCCTTATTCTGTCGTTCGTTCGTATGTGTATGCCAGTAGTGCTCATATCAGGTAAGAGTGCCTCTGTGGAAATGACTGTGATCATAGCTAGTGTGGGCAGTAGCTTGGACTTTCGTATCCATTCGGGACTAGGGTCAAGAACATGGGGAGGTGTAAACCGGGTAATAACAATAACAAAGTATATACATGGATTAGTCTTGGTACTGGTGGGGAGTACCATGGGGGTGGAAACTTGTATGTTTCCGTGTCGTGGCTATGGGTCTTCCGCTGTCTCCTAACCTTTTGGGACGGTCAGTCTTACTAGGTCACCCATGCATCAATTAGTAAGAGTCTTATAGGCTCTTTGGTATGTGTACTGCTGTTCTACGACGAGGATAAGTGGTAGTAGAAGTAAGAAAAATTGGTTAGGCACATCTGTAGGCACATATGCATATACAAACATAAATTCACCTTAATCTATAGTTGGTGAGCGCATCCAGTAGGGCAGTATCATGCTCCCTAGTTGCTGGAAGGGCTCGTTAAATTAACAGATATCTATTGATTACTAACTGAACAGGTTTTATACTATTATTTTTTTTTATTTTTTAATAACTGTGTAGCTTCGTTTTGTCTGTGCACTTGAAGGCTCATGGGGTCTGCTAACTGAATGATCTCTAAGTAGTTTTATCAGTGTTGCTCTCACAATATACCCTTGATGAGGCACACTGAGAAGATAGGTGTGTCCTCTGCGAATCATCACATCTCCTGTGAGCTACGGTAAGCTAGGGGAGACTAGTTCGGCTCCAGACCTCTATTGAATGTTTGGGTATTTGTTGCTCGCCAGCTTAATTAGCATTAGGGAACTATGTAATCTAACGTGGTATAACCAATCACGTATTAACCTGGAAACTATACTTTCATATGGGTTTTTTTTTTTTTTTTTTATGGAACACTACTATATCTTTTCCTCAGTCCTTGGCCTTATTGCAAGCGCACATGTATGAACAGGCTTATACTTGCAGATGTCCAGCAGTTCATGCTTTGTGCCAGTCCAGTGGAATGCGCCTGGAAGGTGGGGTGTTATGATCCGGTCCTCGGTCCATGAATCCCCAGGCTTGTAGTTTGCGAAGTCCATCTTCAGGTGATGTGATTACTTGGGTGGCGTTGTCTTTCGTCACCAACATTTTGGTAGGGAAACCCCATTGAAATCTGAGACCATGCGCTCTCACGGAGTTGGCAACTTGAGCGAACTCTTTCCTTCTACGAAGAGTGGACACAGAAAGATCGGCAAAGATCAGCAGGTTTGGGTAACCTTCCAGTGGTGTCACTTTATTCCTGCTTGACTTGAGTATGAGCTCTTTAATATGATAATAATGCATTCGCAGTAGCACATCCCGCGGTGCAGTTTCTGGTAGGAACCGTGGTCTGGGCAGGCGGTGTACTCGGTCCACGAGTAACATGTCGGTAGGCATGTCCGGGGCATATGCGTTGAACACACCTCTGACATATGCCTGCAGATTCTCCGGTACAATGTCTTCCGGGATCCCTCTGATGCGCAGGTTATTCCTGCGTGCGCGATCTTCTAGGTCTGTTAGTTTATTTTCTGTCGCCTGTAATTTTTGTTCCAGTTGTTCCACATGAGAAGCTATGTCATTGTGTGCTGTAGCAAATTCTGCCATCTTGTTCTCCATGTGGGAGGTGCGCTTGCCTAATTCTTGCATGTCCTTCCTCAGCGAATCTGCCGTGTGTTGCCACGATGTAATTAGTTTGTTTGACAGGGTGTCCAGAGCTTGTTGCAAGTAGCTCTTAGTGAGTTTATCAGAGTCCCCTTCATGCAGTACCGCTGTGTTCTCTGGGCTGTCTGCGGCTTGTTTCCGAAGAAATTAAGTTTCTCTGCTTTGGGTGCAGTCTTCTTGCCCCTCTGTTGTGCCATCTCTTGCTTTCTAGCAGTTGTGCTGCCGTATTGCGCTGGATGGAGTCAGATTGCGACCCGTGGTGCTGGAGCGGAGGGATCACACGTCCATTCCTCTCGGCGGTTAGCCACGCCCCCCAATTTTTATATTTTTAAGCGCGTCACTTGTTACTTTTATACATATTTAGTAATTTGTAAAAAAAAAATTCTGTTCAACCAAAATTTTTGTTTCAGTTACATAATGTGCCATCTGTCCATCCTGAAATAAAAAATACATTTAAACATTACTTTCCAGGACAAACAAAAGACAAAGATTCTGGATGCTTTGTGTTGTTTTTTTGCTTGTTAGTGAAGGGTTTAGAATTACAGAACATTATGTTAGGCATGACAGGTGTTCTTTAATGTGCTCGCTAAGCAGCTTGTGAATCAAACAGAAGATATGCTATGTTTTCAAATAATTTGGTTGGGTTGAGCACCGATGTAAACGATACTGGATACTGTTGTAGTTGCCATGTCATTTAACACTCTGTGAGTAGGACAGGATAATTAGAAATGTTTGAAGATCAACATTCACATTTAATTTGTAGTTTCTGCTTTAACATAGCATCTATATTAAAATGTTTTACTAAATATTTCCATTTCCTCTAAGTCATTGCTTTCATGGAAACATAGAAACATAGAATGTGACGGCAGATAAGAACCATTCGGCCCATCTAGTCTGCCCAATTTTCTAAATGCTTTCATTAGTCCCTAGCCTTATCTTATAGTTAGGATAGCCTTATGCCTATCCCACGCATGCTTAAACTCCTTTACTGTGTTAACCTCTACCACTTCAGCTGGAAGGCTATTCCATGCATCCACTACCCTCTCAGTAAAGTAATACTTCCTGATATTATTTTTAAACCTTTGTCCCTCTAATTTAAGACTATGTCCTTTTGTTGTGGTAGTTTTTCTTCTTTTAAATATAGTCTCCTCCTTTACTGTGTTGATTCCCTTTATGTATTTAAATGTTTCTATCATATCCCCCCTGTCTCGTCTTTCCTCCAAGCTATACATGTTAAGATCCTTTAACCTTTCCTGGTAAGTTTTATCCCGCAATCCATGAACCAGTTTAGTAGCCCTTCTCTGAACCTCTCTAAGGTATCAATATCCTTCTGAAGATACGGTCTCCAGTACTGCGTACAATACTCCAAGTGAGGTCTCACCAGTGTTCTGTACAATGGCATGAACACTTCCCTCTTTCTACTGCTAATACATCTCCCTATACAACCAAGCATTCTGCTAGCATTTCCTGCTGCTCTATTACATTGTCTGCCTACCTTAAAATCATCAGAAATAATCACCCCTAAATCCCTTTCCTCAGATGTTGAGGTTAGGACTCTATCAAATATTCTGTACTCTGCCCTTGGGTTTTTACGTCCAAGATGCATTATCTTGCACTTATCCACATTAAATGTCAGTTGCCACAATTCAGACCATTTTTCTAGTTTACCTAAATAATTTGCCATTTGGCTTATCCCTCCTGGAACATCAACTCTGTTATATATCTTAGTATAATCAGCAAAAAGACATACCTTACCATCAAGACCTTCTGCAATATCACTAATAAAAATATTAAAGAGAATGGGTCCAAGTACAGATCCCTGAGGTACCCCACTGGTGACAAGTCCAAGCTTCGAATATATTCCATTGACTACAACCCTCTGTTGCCTGTCACTCAGCCACTGCCTCACCCATTCAACAATATTGGAATCCAAACTTAAAGATTGCAGTTTATTGATAAGCCTTCTATGTGCAACAGTGTCAAAAGCCTTACTGAAATCTAGGTAAGCAATGTCTACTGCACCACCCTGATCTATAATTTTAGTTACCCAATCAAAAAAATCAATAAGATTAGTTTGGCATGATCTCCCTGAAGTAAACCCATGTTGTCTCTGATCTTGAAATCCATGTGTTTTTAGATGTTCATCAATCCTATCCTTTAACATGGTTTCCATCACTTTCCCCACTACTGAAGTAAGGCTTACTGGCCTATAGTTGCCCGACTCCTCCCTATTACCTTTCTTGTAAATGGGCACAACATTCGCTAACTTCCAATCTTCTGGGACTACTCCTGTTAACAATGATTGGTTAAATAAATTTGTTAATGGTTTTGCTAGTACACCACTAAGCTCTTTTAATAGCTTTGGGTGTATTCCATCAAGTCCCATTGACTTATTTGTCTTTACTTTTGACAGTTGAAATAGAACCTCTTCCTCTGTAAACTCACGTGTAATAAATGACTCATTTATCCTTTTTCTCAACTGAGGTCCCTTTCCTTCATTTTCATCTGTAAATACAGAACAAAAATATTCATTGAGGCAGTCAGCCTGACCTTTATCCTCTTCTACATACCTTCCTTCTTTTGTTTTTAATCTAACTAATCCTTGTTTTACTTTTCTTTTCTCATTTATGTATCTAAAAAATGTTTTATCCCCCTTTTTTACTGACTGTGCTATTTTCTCTTCTGTGTGTGATTTGGAAGCTCTTATAACTTGCTTAGCCTCTTTCTGCCTAATCTTATAGATCATTTTGTCTTCCTCACTGATTACATGTTTACCTAATGTGAATTTACCATTGGTCCGTCATGCTTACTGTGTGGAAGTGGAGATTAGATTATAAATTCATGGAAAGAACAGCAAGGGTTATTTTAGATGGATAAAAACATTATACATTTTAACAAAAATAGATGAATTGGAAAAATCATTAATTATAGACTCTGGTACAAAACAAAACATAAAACCAAAGAATATATGATAAAACAGATTTAGCATTTAACAGATGATGTCAACAGTAACACCTCCTCTTTCTTGATGCGAACTAAACACAGAGACAAAAAATAAACTCCATAGATAAACAAGCCCAAAATTGAAACCTACAGAACAAGAAGCAAGTGAAGGCAAGACCCACTGCAATCCAACATGACAAGGAAAACCAGCTGCATCGATTAAGCTGAAAGGAAAAAGAAAAGAATGCAAACTCAAAAATATAGAAAAAACATAATACAATGCAGGGAAAAGCACAATTCCAAAACAAAAACAAGTACATAGTATGATCCAACCAAATAAATGCATGAATAAAATAATCGAGGGAAACAAACCACAAGCAGTCCCAAATTCAAAAGAACTGCACAAAAGGGAAGAGAGGGAAATATTGGCCTTCTGTCATTAGTTATTATTATTTGAATAAAAGTAAAATTATTGGTACTCTAGAGCTAGCATAATATACCATTTTATAACATGACAAGATGATTCATATTTGCAATTTTAATGCTACAAGACATTAGGATAAAAGAGCAAAAGAAGCACGTGAAGACAGGAGATAATGAAAAAAAAAAACACAGTAAGTCCGCTGCTTTCATAATATCTGAAAAAGTAACACCCAAAGCGAAAGACGCCGCAGCAACTCTGACAGAAACGCCTCTCCAAACAACAGGCCCAATACTTTAGAAGCCAAATCTACCAATCCTTAACAATGCTGCTTTGTGTCTTTCTAAGAAAGCGATACGTTGGCATTGCCTAACAGACACAAACAATGCTGTGCCCATTCCCATACCACATGTAGATCCAAAGATTCACCATTACATAGAGCCCCGTCTGCAAGAAGCAGAATTTTAGCCAGTGGGCCGGTGATATCCAACAACTTATCCTGGGCAAATTTCAGACCTGTGCAGGTCTGTCCCATTGCCAACCGTAAAGTAGATCAGGACCTGGTCAAACCCAGGTGCCCGAGCTATGGTGACTACTCGCCGGAATTTGGTTGTTGATAAGGAACTCAATTACAGCAGAACAATCACTAACCTCTTACAATCACTAACCTCATGGGCAACTGGAGTCGAGAACTGAGCCCTGATAGATTACTGGTACCCTTTTTAATGATTAAAAGGGTACCAGACAGCAGAATCCGAGATAGAGGAGGCATGAGGTGAAGTCAGGTGGTCCAAAGGTCAGGGCAGACAGTGAGAAAATGTGATTAGGCAGGAAATCAGAAGAAAGGCAGTTCATAAAAAAAGAAAGTCACAAGGTATCAGGAATCAAGAACAGAGAGTTTAGCTTAGAACAACCAAGCACCGATTAGGAGGCACTCTGGGGTTTAATAAGCTGACAGGGTCACATGACAGGGATCATGGCTGCTGAGGAGCTTGCATTCTGCGAGTACCAAGATGACCACCACTCATGCGCAATGCACTATGGAACACGTGCAAAAAAAACCAAAAAACAATCTGTGACCTGGCCTCCCTGACAGTGCCAAGGCTGAGCTGTAAAGGAGCAGTTACTGGTCAACAGCAGGTACTGAAGAACAGTGTAACACTGCACCCTGGAACGGCCAACCAGCAAAACAGTAGATGAACCCAAATGCTGTTTTCACAGGGTCCAGGTAAAAACCAAGCAATGAGTCTGTTTCCTAAGCTACCCAAGCATAGACTTAAAAGGAGGAACATGTTCAGGATAACACAATGGGGAAAAAAGGATCAAAAGCATAACAAGACAGACAAAGGAAATAATTCAAAGTGGAAGAGCA